TTTCTCCCTTACTACTCTCTTTACATCATCATTCCACCAATCGCTCCTCTTCCCTCCCACACCCACTTTCCTGTAACCACAAACTTCTGCTGAACACTCTAACACTACATTTTTATACCTACCCCATAGCTCTTCGACCCGATTGCCTATGTTCTCATTAGCCCATCTATCTTCCAATAGCTGTTTATATCTTACAATAACTGCCTCCTCTTTTAGTTTATAAACCTTCACCTCTCTCTTCCCTGATGCTGCTATTCTCCTTGTATCCCATCTACCTTTTACTCTCAGTGTAGCTACAACTAAGAAGTGATCTGATATATCTGTGGCCCCTCTATAAACATGTACATCCTGAAGTCTACTCAACAGTCTTTTATCTACCAATACATAATCCAACAAACTACTGTCATTTCGCCCTACATCATATCTTGTATACTTTTTTATCCTCTTTTTCTTAAAATATGTATTACCTATAACTAAACCCCTTTCTATACAAAGTTCAATCAAAGGGCTCCCATTATCATTTACACCTGGCACCCCAAACTTACCTACCACACCCTCTCTAAAAGTTTCTCCTACTTTAGCACTCAGGTTCCCTACCACAATTACTCTCTCACTTGGTTCCTATACATTCACGTAACATCTCCCAAAATCTCTCTCTCTCCTCTACATTCCTCTCTTCTCCAGGTGCATACATGCTTATTATGACCCACTTTTCACATCCAACCTTTACTTTAATCCACATAATCCTTGAATTTACACATTCATATTCTCTTTTCTCCTTCCATAACTGATCCTTCAACATTACTGCCACCCCTTCCTTAGCTCTAACTCTCTCAGATACTCCAGATTTAATCCCATTTATTTCCCCCCACCGAAACTCCCCTAACCCTTCAGCTTTGTTTCGCTTAGGGCCAGGACATCCAACTTCTTTTCATTCATAACATCAGCAATCATCTGTTTCTTGTCATCTGCACTACATCCACACACATTCAAGCATCCCAGTTTTATAAAGTTTTTCTTCTTCTCTTTTTTAGTAAATGTCTACAGGAGAAGGGGTTACTAGCCCATTGCTCCCGGCATTTTAGTCGCCTCATACGACACGCATGGCTTACAGAGGAAAGATTCTTTTCCACTTCCATATTATATTATATAATAAACATGCTACGTCGGCTTGACGGAGTGAACAAAAAACATTCGTGCCTGGACTGGTAATAACAACAACAACTGGTTTCTTTACAAAACTCAGTGAGCCTTCTACACTCTCATGTACTCATCTTGTTTACTTATCTCTCACTCTACATTAAGACTACAAATATTTTAATCCTTTCAGGGTCCAGAGGCCAAATTTCAAAGTGTGCACCAGGGTCCAAGAATTTTCAAAAAAAAAAAAATTTTTATATTTTTACTTATGAAATGGTAGAGAATCTTTTTCTGAAGATAATAAAACAAAAAGTACGAAATTTTATGAAAAATTATGAAATTATGCTCTCGCGAATTTTGATGTGTCAGCGATATTTAAACAGCGGCGATTTTGCCGACTTCGACTCCCATTTTAGGCAAATTACATTATTACAGTCAATCAAATTCTTAGCTATTTCACTAGTATTATTGCTATTCTATCGATTGAGCACAAGAAATCGCCAAGTCAACTGTTTCAACTACAAAATAAAGTGATCAGAAATTGGTAATTTGGCCAATTTAACACAAAGTTCAAAATACGTACACCAGTTTCAAAATAGGGTCCAGAATATACAATGCAGGCATTCCTGGCACTAAACTAACATTTCCTCTATTTATTAGTTATGTTTTCAGACTTTACAAATGAATTCCATTTTGATTTTTTATTCACATAATTAATTTTTGTTCAAACCAAAAAATAGAAGATTTACTGTTATGCAATATTGTAATAATTGTATAAATCATATCACCACATTTGTGAATGTATATTAGACCCACCAGCTGGCGTGTATTAGATGTGTGAGGTCATGTGCTTACTCTTGAACATTGGCAAAAATTTAACATTTCCGCTACTTTGAGCTCAGTTTCAAGCCATTTCCAATACAAAAACCAATCAAAATCATCTCTGTTTCTGTAATATAATTTCCATTCTCTCAAATGAGACCAAGAAACTGCAATACAACTATAAAAAATGGACGATAAAACATTGCAAAGTTGCTGTTTTAATCGAAAATTACAGTCTCAGGTTTTTTCTCTCATTATGTACTGTGTGCTGCAGGATTTGTTTTATGTGGTGCACACATACCACATAGATGCATTCTCTCATATCTAGGCCCAACTTTACTGCTCACAGCTTATCAGAGTGAGCTGAGCTATGACATAGATCTAGGGTTTGGATCCTCAACTCAAAGCCGTAGAACTACAGCATGGATCCTGAAAGGGTTAAGGTAAGTAATGAGTGTACTGTATATGCATTTTATCGCTCTAGGGCAATTTAAAAGCCTTGTATATAATGTGTGGATGGGGTAGCCAGATGGGGGTTACATACCTACCACACTTTCATACCCACCTACCATACTATTCACCTTGCACCCTATATTAACCCTTTCAGGGCCCGTGCCGTGGATCTACGGCTTTACATTGAGGGTCCAAACTGTAGATCTACACCATGAGCTCAGCACACTCTGATAAGCTGTGAGCTGTAAATTTAGGCTTAGATATGAGAAAATACATCTATGTGGTATGTGTGCACCACATAAAACAAATCCCGCAGCACACAGTGCATAATGAGAAAAAATGAGACTGTAATTTTCGATTAAAACAGCAACATTGCAGTGTTTTTTCATATGTTTTTGATAGTTGTATTTGCGATTTCTCGGTCTCATTTGATAGAATGGAAGATATAATACAGAAATAGTGATGATTTTCATTGGTTTTAGTACTGAAAATGGCTTGAAACTGAGCTCAAATTAGCAGAAATGTTAAATTTTTGCTGATGTTCAAGAGTAAACAAATGACCTTACACATCTAATACACACCAGCTGGTGGGTCTAATATATGTTCACAAATGTGGTGATGATATTTATACAATTATTACAATATTGCATGACAGTAAATCTATTTTTTGGTTTGAATAAAAATTCATTAGGTGAATAAAAAATCAAAATGGAATTCATTTGTAAAGTCTGAAAACATAACTAATGAACAGAGGAAATGTTAGTTTAGTGCCAGGAATGCCTGCATTGCTCATTCTGGACCCTATTTTGAAATTGGAATATTTTGAACTTTTGCACTAAATATGCCAAATTACCAATTTCCAATTACTTTATTTTGTAGTTGAAACAGTCAAGTTGGCAATTTCTTGTGCTCAGTCGATAGAATAGAAGTAATACTAGTGAAATAGCTAAAAATTTGGTCGACTGGAATAAGGTAATTGGCTTAAAATGGGAGTCAAATTCGGCAAAATCACTGATGCGTAAATATTGCTGACAAGTCAAAATTCGCAATTTTCCATCAAATTTTGTACTTTTTGTTTTATTACCTTCAGAAAAAGATTCTCTACCATTTCATAAGAAAAAATAACAAATTTTTTTTTTTAAATTCTTGGACACTGGTGTGCACTTTGAAATTTGGCCTCTGGACCCTACAAATATTTTAAGGTAAGTAATGAGTATACTGTATATGCATTTTATTGCTCTAGGGCACTTTAAATGCCTAGTACATATAATGTAATGTTCACTGGAGGAGAAATAAAGCCAGACTGACACACAATGGGTGTGTGGGGAGGCGTGCAGGCAGGCGGACAGGTCTGGTATGCAGGAAGAAACATGGAGCACAGTGCAAAATTCGGGACAAAATTTAGGCGAAAAAAAAAAAAACGGTTCTAAACTTGAAACGTACGATACTCAGGGCGTACAAAACTCGGGGTTCCACTGTACTTACATTTACTAATCTAATCTTTACTTTCCAGTATTTTTCTTACTATCTTTTATTTTTTATTTTTTTTCAATGAACTGGCTGTATCCCACCAAGGCGGGGTGACCTGTAAAGAAAAACAAAAGTTTTTCCTTTTAAATTTAGTAATTTATACAGGAAAAGAGGTTACTACCCCCTTTCTCCTGTTCTTAGTACGTGTATTTGTTATTCCTATAGTATTTCCTTTCAAATTCTGGAGGCCATGTGTGAGACCAGATGGGAACAATGATCCACAAAACCATTAGCAGATATAACTATTTCTTTAAGTCCTAGAAAATTATCAAATTCACGTTAATTAATTTAAAGGCTTAAGTAAGCTGCATTTTGACCTGTTATTATGACCACTACTAGAAGCCCTGAAGCTGTCATCTATTCATCACTTAAATGCTACACTATTTTCTTAACACATTATTTTAAAGCATTACTGAAACAGAAGTAGGAATCTTATATACAAGCATTTATTTTTCAAGATAAACCCATTACAATTCAAACTCTATTGAAAAGGAACAGGTTTTTGATATAGTGTACAGAATAATGCAGTCACCAACTTATATATTTATCACAGAAACACTGTTTACACCTCAGTGTATGGTAACACAATACATAATAATTCTCCCATGAGGTGCATGCCTTTCTTCTGAATGTTTTTTTAATATACAAAAAAAAAAAAAAAAGTCCTACATTGCAGTCACATGTGTCATCTTGCCTACAAATATACAAAAGAATTGTATTATTATCTCATGCAAAAAAAGTAACACAATATTTTATGACTATTACGACCATGCAAAACATATCATTATGAAATAAACATAACAGAATAAACATTACCTACAATTACTAGCATTTACTTACATTACAGCAATTACTAGCAAATATGCTTGTAATGCACTTCGTACCTATGACTCAGGCAAATACCTATTTCCGTTTAAAAATAAAACATTCTTAAATATATGTTTTTAATATTGCCATATATTAAGAGTTTCCAAGTTAAATTTGACTTGAAACATCCATATATGTCTACATTATAACAGAGTGGAAGAAGGTCCAACATTGGACATAATACTTGCTTGCATCATGGATGACTGAGCCATTCCCATCCCTGGGTTGCTCATGTTGTGTTGTATTGGTTGTCCAGTGGGACCCATTGGTGATGGCCCCATACCACCACCCACAGGACTCAAACCTGGCATTGGAACAGCATTATGAGAGCTTGTTTGAGTAGCCATCATTCCTGGATGCAAGGTTGATCCTGGGGGACCTGGTGGCCTTGGCCCTATGGAAGGTGATGTTCCCAGTCTTGTCTGCATTGATGACAGAAGTCCTTGCCACTCATTCAGTTTGTCTGCATGTTTTTTAAGAAGTTCATCTTTTCGAGCTAGCTCATTACGCATTTCAATGATGTCCTGAAATGGGAGGAAAAAAGTGGTACAGTACACTTTGAAAATAAATATTGAATATTTTGTGTAAAAGAGAGCAGATCTGAATATTTGTTGGAAAAATTCAGCCAAGTGACTAAATAGACATAAGTTAAAGCAAATAATGTAACAAGTTTATGAATCTAAGTAAGATGCTGAAAGAGAACCAAGTTCAGCCAGGCCATGAACATAAATAATCACTTGAAGCTTTTGTGTATAGAAATGTGTGTGGCATCACTGTTTCAAAAAATCCAATTTATCTGATACCCTGCAAGACCCTTTCACTTGCACCATACCTTTGATATACCTTTGAAGAGTTTCGAGAGTTTCACTACTCTCGGAGCCCGGCCATGGGCCAGGCTCATCTGATGCTTGCCTGGTCAACTAGGCTGCTGCTGCCCAAGGCCTGCTGCCCTACATATCCATCAAAGCTTGGTTGATCTGGCACCTGGTGAAGATACTTGTCCAGTTTCCTCTTGAAAGCTTCTAAACTTGTTCCAGCCTTGTTTCTAATATCTCCTGGTTGAATAGTCTGGGATCCCAAATGTTGATACAGTGTTCCTTTATCATCCCCACCACACCTCACTGGGTTTATTTTACACTTCCTCCCATATATCTCACTCCAGTATGTTGTTATGGCAATGTGCAGATTTGGGACCAGACCCTCAAGTACTTTCCAGGTACAGTGGTACCTTGATTTACGAGTGCCTCAACTTACGAGTTTTCTGAGTTACGAGCCGTCAATCTGTCAATTTTTTGCTTTGAGTTGCGAGCCAAAATCTGAAATATGAGCAAGCTTCAGATACGCTGCCACTAACTGGCGCAGTGAATGCAACAACATCTGCCCAGCATCCCAGCATTTTGTGCTTTTTGTGCAGTTATTTTACCAAATTTCTTTTTTCTAACCATGGGTCCTACGAAAGTACAGTGGTCCCTCGATAATCGTCGGGCTCGATAGTCATCCTTTTCGGAAATCATCACATTATTTTCGTCCAAACATTGGCTCACAAATGGTCGGTTGACTCGCTAATCGTTGTTCATCCTGGACGCGTACTCACTGCTCTAAGCCGCCTTGGCCTCCCTTCCCAGCCAGTGTGCCATTGTTTACATAAGAACATAAGAATGTAGGAACACTGCAGAAGGCCTACTGGCCCATGCGAGGCAGGTCCTTATCAAAACGACCTCTACCTAAAGCTACCCAAGAAATAACTCCCGTACCCAATGACACCATTCAAACCCAGCCCCTCCCACTCATATACTTGTCCAGTCTCTTCTTAAAGCTACCCAAGGTCCTAGCCTCTATCACCCCACTGGGAAGACTGTTCCACGCATCTACAACTCTGTTAGAAAACCAGTACTTACCTATGTCCTTTCCAAATCTAAATTTATCCAACTTAAATCCATTATTTCTGGTTCTTACCTGGTTCGACACCCTCAGTACTTTATTAATATCTCCCTTGTTTATGCCCGTCATCCACTTACACACTTCAATGATATCTCCCCTCATTCTACGCCTCTCCAGAGAGTGGAGATTTAAGGCTTTAAGTCTATCTTCATTTCTCTTTACCCTTCCTGCTCATTTCTGTTTTTCTACTTTTATATATTTATTTATTTATTTAGTAATTTGAGCATACATACAGAGGTACAAAAAAATACAGGTAAAAGCAGCATGCCAAAGCATGCTGCTCTTACGGGCAGGCTTAAAATTAACTTAAGACTAACTAAGCAATGATGTAATCAGTGATAAAACATTATTGTAAACAGATAACAATTAAGCACAAATGAGTATTACAAAGACAGGTCATATGGTTGCATGCATTGCTGTACATTCAGTCGAATGGAGTATTCTGTTAGGTAGTGAATTTAAAAAATAACAAAGTTAGATTGGGTCCTAGGTTTAACATTTATGTGATATAATTGTGAGAAACATTTAAGATATACAATTTATAAGGTTCAGTTATTCAGTATTTATTTGGTTTTGGGTGAGTAAGTGATCTTTGAGAAGAGACTTGAATTTATAAACAGGTAGTGTTTCTTTTATATTTACAGGTAATGAATTCCAGATTTTAGGGCCTTTTATGTGTATTGAGTTTTTGCATAGCGTGAGATGGACACGAGGAACATCAAAGAGTGATCTGTGCCTTGTGTTATGGTCATGTGTTCTGTTGAGGTTGGCAAGGAGATGTTTGAGGGGAGGGTTAATATCAGAATTAAGTGTTCTATGTATGTAATAGGTGCAGTAATAAGTATGGATGTTTTGTATGGTGAGTAGGTTTAGTGTTTTGAATATTGGTGGAGTGTGCTGCCTGTAGTAGGAATTTGTTATCATTCTGACTGCAGCCTTTTGTTGGGTAATTAGTGGTCTGAGATGGTTAATTGTTGTTGAGCCCCATGCACAAATTCCATAGGTGAGACAGGGGTAAATAAGAAGTGATATAGGGCCAGGGGCTGACTGTGGAACATAGTACCGTATCTTCGATAGTATGCCTACGGTCTTGGAAATTTTCTTAGAAATTTGTTGTGTATGTGTATGAAATTTGAGTCTATTATCAAGGTGGATTCCTAAGAATTTTCCCTCTGTTAGCTTTGTGATAGGTGATCCGTTTATCATTATGTTAAGAGGGACATCTGTAGCTCTGTAACCAAAGTGAATGAAGTAGGTTTTGTCAATGTTTAGTGTAAGTTTGTTAGTCCTCATACAGGTAGATATTTTCTGTAATTCGGTATTTACAGTATTGGCTAGCGTGACTGGGCTCGGGTGAGAGAAGACGTATGTAGTGTCATCTGCAAATAGTGTGGGTTTGAGTAATTGTGATGCATTTGGTAGGTCATTTATGTACAGGAGAAAGAGAAGAGGGCCAAGGACACTTCCCTGTGGGACACCAACTGTAATTGGTTGTGCGGAAGAGTTTGCCCCATTTGCATACACATATTGGCTTCTGTTGCTGAGGTATGACTTGAGGTAGTTGAGGGAGTGCCCTCTTATACCATAGTGTGACAATTTTATGTGGAGCAAGTCATGGTCAACTGTATCAAAAGCTTTACGTAAGTCAATGAAGATCCCCAGTGGGACTTCTTTTTTCTCTATTGCAGTGTATATATGTTCTAGCATGTGTATAATAGCATCATTAGTATTTTTATTAGGCCTGAATCCAAATTGGCAGGGGTTGAGTATGTTTTGGGAGATGAGGTAGGAGTAGATTCGTTTATGAATTAATTTTTCGAAGATTTTTGAGAGAGGGTGTAAGTTGGATACTGGCCTATAGTTATTCAACTCTGTTTGGTCTCCTCCTTCATGGATCGGGGTGACCCTTGTTATTTTGAGAACTGCAGGGAAGGTGGAGGATTCAATGGATTTGTTAAAGAGTGTTGCAATGATTGGTGATAGCACTTGTGACACTTTTTTGTATATAAAGGGTGGTAAGGTATTTAAATCTCCTGCCTTATTTTTTAGTGCGTTGATAATAAGGGAAACTTCATATGGGTTAGTCAGAGCTAGGAACAGTGTGTTCGGGTAGTTGCCACCATTTGGTGGGGTATCTGAGCTTGGGATTTTATTGGCAAGGTTTTGTCCTATAGTGGAGAAGAAATCATTGAGTCTGTTTGCTGTTTCTGTTGGTGGGAGTTGGAGTTCATCTGATTTTGCTAATTTTATTTCGTTATTTCGTGATAACTTTTTTCTTCCTAGAATTTCTGATAGGGTTTTCCAGGTCTTTTTTATATCACCTCGTAAGTTGGATAATCTGTTCTCATAACACAATTTTTTTGCCCTTCTTATCAGGCTGGTTAGGATTGACGAGTAACGTTTTGTTTGGTCTCTGGTTATGTGACCCATTCTGTACTGTTTTTCATATCGGTGTTTTGTATTTATGGATTTGCGAATGCTGGGTGTTAGCCAGGGACTGTTCAGTCTCTTAGCTGCCATCTGTTTAGTTTTTTTAGGGCAGTGCTTGTTATAGAGGTATTGGGTCTTTTTTAGAAAATTATTAATACATTCGTCAATATCTGTATAGATTTCTAGCTCAGTGTGCCAGTCAATGTTTGTTACTGCTGTTGTGAAGTTATTAATGGTTGCCTCATTGTGAAGTCTGAAGGTGACTTTAGTAGTGTCTTGGGGTAATTTACCAAGAGTTGTTATGAGGAAAGTAGGGTAGTGGTCTGTGGTATTATCTGTAATTATGCCTGATTTTAAAGGGGATATGGTGTTGGTCCAGATGTGGTCAAGTAGGGAAACACTAGTCTCTGTAACTCTTGTAGGTTTTGTTACTGTTGGTAGGAACATGCAGTTACTCATTGTGTTTGTGAATTCAGTAATGTGTGGGTCCTGGTCTTGCAGGAGATTTATATTGAAGTCACCTGAGAGTAGTAAGTGATCTTTGTTCATGCGTGCATCAGTTATCATACTTCCTAGGTTTTGACTAAATTGGCTAATGTTTGACTGTGGAACTCTATAGATGTTTATCAATGTGAGAGGTTTTTGTAGGTATTTGGATTTGAATTTAGCTATTATATATTCCCCATGTTCATCCCTTGTGCAAGTATTAGTGATACATTCTAGTTGGTCTGAGTAGTATATAGCTGTGCCACCCCCTTGTTGGTCTGGCCTACAGTTGTGTATGGCTGTGTAACCAGGAATGACATAGACATCTGTAGTATCAGGCTTTAGCCAGGTTTCAGTTAGTGTAATGATGGACATATTGGCATGCAAGGAATTTAGTAATGCTATGAGGTCATCGTAATGCTTGCTTAAAGATCTGATATTGTAGTTAAAGACAGTTATGTTGTTGTTGGCTCTGAGGAGTGCCTTTGATTGTTCTGCTGTGTAGTAATTACAGTAACTGTTTGATTCATTTAAGTCCTTATCACCTAGTGTCACTGGCTTTTCAATATCTACCTCGTTCTGCTTATTACTAGTTCCCCTACAACTCATAATATTACTACACTGGGACTTCACTGTTTTCCTGCCAAAACCCATACCACTAACTATT